GTGGTGGTGGAGGGGAGTCCCCATTACCTGTAAAGCGCTTTGAGTGGAGTGTCCAGAAAAAGCGCTATATAAGTGTAAGCAATTATTATTATTATTATAATTGCAGCTTTGCGAGACAGAAAATAAATACTGACTTTGTGGAAATTAGTGGTCCCTCCATTCCCTTGTTCATGGAAATACAGCAGTTGTTTTAGATGTGTTTCGTGCACTCTGCAGTGCTGTAACTGTGTTCAGGACCCTGTTCTGCTTGCTGTGTGTTTAAGTGAGGTGAAATGGAGTTTAAATAGTGGTCAAGTGGACAGGGACACTAGGGGGCTGGGAAGGTGATACAAGTGGTGGTGTATGACCACACTGGATTACCAATTATCTTCTGTTTTATGGTTCAGTAATTGGTTATCAGCTGGGCTACAGCCCCCAAGGCACACATCGCCAGTGACCTTGGAGACAGCCCCCAGCTCAGTCAACAAATCAAGGAGGCCCCAATCAAATCAAGCCCAGGAACGCAAAGGACATCAGAGCTGAGATCTTTTTACTGGCGTGCTTTAAACTGGGCCTCTGAGCTGGTCTAGGCTCTAGATCCGCTGTAGGAACTGTTAGTCAGGTCTGGTGAGGTTGGGTGTAGAGAACGTGGATGGACTGAAAATAAGATTTGCAATAACATAATGTGTTGCCACAGTTCTGTGATGAGTGTCTTTTTCTGCATGAATGTCACAAATTAGCCTCTAAGCAGGGTAGGGAACCCAGTTTGAATTTTATTACTTGGAGTTTAATCAGAAGTGAGCACAATCCTTGTTTGCCAGCCATGTTATTAAAAATGCAATTTTCATTTAATAAAGCCTGTCTCTCGGCACACTGCTCCTTTACTGCTTACCCCAGATACATGGAATATTCCCGTATTATTTAACACTAACATACTGTTTAACTGGGGGTGCTCCAGGGTCTCTCTCACTATCTCACTACTCGTATTTCACTCTTGAAGCAGGACTTGTTTGTTAAAGAATAATAATGTGATGATTTCAAGTTTGCCATCAATACTAGACTGAAATTTCCCCCCAGTTTATGGGGGACACTTACATCGTGGTATTCCCCCTTGCTGTCCACACAGCCACAGCTCGACAGCGCCACACACTGGTCGCCGCTCAGCACGAAGCCAGGGTTACACTGGCAGCCCTCCACGCAGGCACTGGGGGGGCGAGGGCAGCTGGCATCAGCATACAGGTTGGCGCAGGTGGGGGGGCAGGGGGCCGTGCAGGGGGAGTACTGGCTGTTGGGGGGACATGGTAGGGCTGAGAGAAAGAGGAAGAGATCGGTTTGTTCTGTGTTTCATTTCACTCAAAAGCTCTTTAGAAGAAAACATCAAGTTTTAGCACATCAGACAAGATTTATTATGGAGTAGTAATTGTGATCACTAAAAACAAAAAAAATGTGAAACGATTCTACAAAAACAGACTTTTTTATATTGTAAATTTGGATTCACCAGGTTTTTAGAACCCGACTTTGCATCTCCAACTTTTTTATTGCAAAGAGAGAATGAGGACTGTGCACACCCTTCTCTGACACCCCCTGTCAGATCACTCACCCTGGGACTCTGCACACCACCTTTGAACATTAAAAAAGTAAAAACTACACAAACAATCTGGGTTTTGATTGTTGTTTGTTAAGGGAGAACGCAGAGGGCTGGTCAGACTCACGGCAGAAGGTGGAGTTTCTCCAGGACACAGTGATCCCCAGACTCTGGCAGGCCTGGGCGTAGGCCCCCACGTTGTCGCACAGTGTTCCCAGCATGCCCTCGTACTCGCACATGTCGTACACGCAGTTCTGCAGGAAGGGCTCCTGCAGCAGGAGGGCGTGGCATTCCTGGAAGCGCTTGTCGAAGAGCAGCTCCATGCAGAGGGCGGTGTAGTGGGACTCCTCCTCCTGTGTGCACTTGGGGTCCAGATCCTCCCTGTCATCAGGCTGGCACCTGAGAGAGCCAGGGAAGACACACTGTACCCGCTGCAGGCTCTATGCTGTGTTCAGGGACAGTACCCTGTGTTCAGAGACAGTGCCCTGCCTGTGTTCAGGAGTGCTCTGTTCTGTGTTAAGGGACAGTACTTTGTGATTGAGGACAGTGCCCTGTGTTCAGTAGTGCTCTATCCTGTGTTCAGAGACAATACTCTGTGATCAAGGACGCTGCCCTGTGTTCAGGGACAGTATTCTGTGATTGAGGATGCTGCTCTGTGTTCAGTAGTGCTCTATCCTGTGATCAGGGGTAGTGTTAGATCTCTCACCCCTCATCACTGTCGCCTTCTGCCTTCCAGCTGTTGCCCAGCTGGACCACATCCTTGGCAGGGAGCCCGTCTGGCATCAGGCTGTCATCACTGCCGTTGTTATTGAAATTGCCACACATGCCACAGACCTGCAGAGAGAAGACGTTAATACTGGCACACACTGGCACAGATTGGGGCACTGTATTGTAGTGGCTTCTAGGTAGTGTCAGTGTGTGGTGCTGTGCTGTAGTGGGTTCTAGGTAGTGTCACTGTGTGTACT